AACAGGTGCCACGCTACTAGTAACAGGTGCCTTACTAGTAGTAACAAAAAAGCTATTAGAAACAAGTGCCTTACTAGTAGTACCCCCACGCGAAGTCGAGTGGAAAACCCCACGCTGCACGCTGCCGTCGTGAACTTGTTGTCAAGAGAGGTGCAAGGGATCAACATCAATGTTTAAAATTCTAGAGTTCAAGGATGTTAAAGGTAATTGCACAGTGCGACTCGAGGTGCATCTTCGATTTCATATTGATGGTGGAGGCCTTGGACCCACCAAAGCCCAGAACGCGAATGAAACCGACGCCGCCAGCCACAGTGACAAACGCGTCATTGGGGTCCGAGGTGGCGTGCGATTAGGAAGTTCTTTTTTCGGGGACAGGTAATCTGTCGTCAACCCCCCTTGTGAATTACAGGGGCTAAGGCTAAGGGTCTAAGAGTGTATATTAGTGTATATAGTATATACCAAAGGGATGCATTTTACAAAAGAAACGTGAGATGCACCTCACATCCAGAAGAATGACTGCGGCTACGGGTAGCCCGACCGGGGCGTTGCCGTCATCTGATACACCCGTTGGCTCCGAGCCTTCTGCGTCTGCTGGCGGCAAAACTCCCGCACAGCCTCGCAGTCCGTCTGAACCTGCACAGTTTTGTTCTTATTTTTTGGTGCTCGTTCAGCATCGAAGAAACACCGGTCCTGAAAGGCACTTCTCAAGCTCCTGTTTTGTGACCACCAGTTCGAAGCTTCAACTGCCTTCCAAATACACACCGAAACATGTACAGAATAGTTTCGTGGAAAATGTGTGTGTGGGATCTGCCCTGGCCAACATCCAACCCTAAGTGAGCATGAGTCCCTCCCAAAACGCTCCTGGGCCAAATTACCCAGCTCCGTCTGCACGCTGTTCTGAAGCTTGCTGGACCTGCCAAACCCACAAGTGCACATGACGCAAACTCTCAAGAGATTCAAAAATTATATATATATAACTAGGAACAAGGACGCTATTAAGTGGAGGCCATCGCAAGTAGGTTTGAGGCCGAAGCATGGTCTGTGAAGCGTCTGGGTATATAGATCCGATTCACGGGAGTCCAGTACGTCTCATTCCTTCAAGCCAAAGCTATGAACCATGGAGAACCATGGCTCATGGCCAATGGCCACAGGGCCAAAAACAAGAACCAACGGATATATTTCTTCATGAAATAAAAAGCATCAAGACATTGAAAGCTAGAGTGACCTTGAAATGTCTAGTAAGCGGATTTTCTGCCATTTGGTCAATTTTGAGTTCTGGGCTCTAAACCAGCAACTACCGTCAGATGGTCAGATTTCCAGCAATAGGTATGAATAAGAAAACCATGATGAAAAAAAAACATTGAAAAACACTGCCAAAAGAAACGTTCAATCCTTTCCACGGTTGTCTGAGAACACCGGCTGGTCCATGGTGAAGTCACGGAGCTCCGCCACCTCGGGCTGGACAGCTGGACTCCGATGGACGCAAGTCACTCACGTAGACTCGGTGACTCAAACCAACATGAAGAGGTTTTAGAATCTAGCTGCCCTTTTTGGGGCGATATGGCACCATGGCCTGACAGCTCGCCAAATGCAGGCCAGAACATTACTTTTCGCTAAAAGAGAAAATCCAAACTCAATATCAGATGGCAGACCCATAACCATCCTAGGCTATTTGGCAAGACTCGCATCAAAGATGATTTCAGACCAAATCTTACAACAGTGGGCTCAATCTTGGCCATCCGAAATCAGTGGCGGGTTGCCACAAAGATCGGCCAGGGATCTGGTGATTATGCAACAATTGCAGATTGAACATGCAAAGACGCACCACACAGCCTGGGGGGGATGGACAATGGACCTAGTCAAGGCCTTTAACCTCATTCCTCGAAGAGTGGTCCGTTACGTGTTTCAGATTCTAGGCATCCCACCCAAAGTGTGTGATTGTTGGTTTTTGTCATTGACAAGATTAACACGAGTCCTACAAAACGGCCGCAAGATGAGTGAACCATCCCCATCCACGACTGGTTTGCCAGAAGGAGACTCGATGTCAGTGGTTGGCATGTTGGCCTTAAGTTTTATCTACCATACCAAGCTGAAGTCACCTAAAGTCTTCCCGTACACCTATGCCGATAATTGGTCATTCATGTCAACCTCCGAACAACAATGTTTTCGATCACTTCAGCTAATTTTAAACCTGATTCACGACTTGCGAATGCGAATCGATTTCTCTAAATCCTGGTGTTGGGGCACCACAAAGACGTTCCGAGAATTTTGGACAGCAGCCTCGCTTTTGCTCATGGCACCCGATTTCAAGTTCCCCATCAAAAGCCAGGTACACGATTTAGGATGTACCATTTCATATACAGATAGAGTTGTTCTTGGACCGCTCAGGGACAAAATTGACAATGCAGTAGCCAAATGTAACCGAGTCAGACGCCTTAATCTTGCCTTAGATGATCGGGCGGAGATGATCCAAGTTGCAGTCTGGCCTGCAGTCTTTTATGGTGCCCTAGGTTTAATAATTGGAGATCGACATTTTGCCACCCTGCGCAGGGCGGCGACGAACGTGTTAGTAGGTGAGCACAAGCATGCGTCAAGCCATATAGCACTTCACTACCTAACCAATCGGGTCCAGGACCCGTTGCTTTACATCCTGTCCGACATGCTGACAACGCTTCGTCGTCTCTTTGCATATTACCCGTCACTCGCCACACAAATTGTCACTACAGTTCGTAATTTTACCGGTCCGGTCCGTGGTCCGGCAAGTGCATTGGCAGCTTACTTACGGAAAGTCGGGTGGGAGCTGACCGCAAACGCTACCTTGTTAGGACCAGGAGGCCTTCGGTTTCATATTCCAAGTACATCAACAAAGCAGATACGATTACAACTCCGAATCGCCTGGGACTGGTACTGCCATACAGAAGTACAACACAGAAAAGGAATACCAGAACAACCCTTCAGTTCACTCACAGCCATTCGTGTTTTACGCCAACTAACCGACCGCCAACGCCGAATCTTGTCTATAAGTATTACATCAGGGTGGCAGTCCCTGGGATGCATAGCCAACTGGTCCGCCACACAGGACCCAGCATGCCCCTGGTGCGGCCAGTGTGACACTCATACGCATCAATTGCTCGAGTGTCATTTCTTTAGCTCAATACGTGACAAGCACAAGGAGGCCGTACAACATGTTCAAAAACATAGGCACCTGTGTTGGTTTCCCTTACCAAGTCACCACCCAGATGTGCAGTTGGCTAGACAAGCAATGCACCTGCGATCTACAACAATTGTAACCAATCCTATCCCAGAGATTGTGACAGAAGCAACAATCTACACAGATGGCACGTGTGATAATACACGCAATCCCTATACAGCACGAGCAGCATGGGCTGCTGTAATTCGAATACCCCATTCGATCAACCAAGCTCAACATATTTTCCGCGTCATTGCAGCAGGTCACTGCCCTAGCCCGCAGACAATTAATAGATCAGAATTGTTTGCCCTCCTTGTGGCAGTTGAACAGATTCTGTGCTGTCCAGGATCAATGCCAGTTACATTTGTGACAGATTCCCAATTTGTGATTTCTCAAGTACAAAATATAAACCAAGATACATACAAGCAGACACCGCATAAATGTGCCCATTGGGACCTGGTAAAAAGACTGGCAATCCTTTGGGACTCTGCTAGATTTCAGATCTTTAAGATTGCATCCCATCAGGATATTAGTACAGCACGTAATCAAGCAGAAGCATGGCACATAAAAGGCAATGACTTAGCCGACCGCACAGCAGCAGCCATACGCCATACAGATGACCCAGAGTTTGAACAATTGTGCACCGACATTCACAATCATTGGCAGACGAACCAGAAGCTTTTCCTCTAGATTTACAATTACCTACTTGATATCGCCTATACAAGAATGGAAACAACACCAAAGCCAACGAGCACAACTACCACAGGAGACTCGAACCGTTCCACGCCTCCTAACCCCCAATCGACACAGCTAGACAAGCTTAGACAGTGGCAAGTCCACGCACAACCATATGCCATGCCGACTGAGCCACATAAAGTAGTTTTTTGGTGTAGCACCTGGGGTGCTAATCTCACATATATGGTGTGGAAGTATTGCTCAGCTCTTGTTTGGCCCGACCCCAGCACCACGACAGCGCCAGGTGATCCGGGCATCTCATGGACCGAGTTAGCAATTTCGTTTATGCACTGGTCCAACAAGTTCCTACCTATCCGTATTTAAAAAAAGATAAAGGATATCACACCATGCAATATGACGACCCACAAGTTGCTTTGCTCCCAGTAAAGACAAAATCACTAAGAGTCCTGGCAGAAAATTTTCGGTGGATAGTTAAACATATCCAAACCTTCTCACGCCAAAAGTACATCCCTGTTTACAAAAAGCAGGGTACTACAAGTTTAACACGTTTAGGATTTACATCCTATCATGAAGGTGGCGTGTCCAGACGCCCGGCATTGCCCAACTCGGATGTGACATATCAGTATATCGCACAGATGCTAAATGCCATGCCACATGATCCACCATATCACACGGAGATTCTGCCATTGGCTCTTTTAACTAATACTCCACAATGCCAGCCGCCGAATTTACCGGAAGTCTCAAAAGACAAACAGGATGCCTTCATCCAACATGTACGCTATGCCATTTTTTCGGGGCAAACCATTCGATACCATAAAACACCCTGATGCCTCCTGAATTAGATGCAGCCACCCATGACCCGTAGTCAAATAGCCAGAGTGCAGCCCGGTCGTAATTAGGAATTTAGAGACCTCGAGCCATGCGCTGTTTCGTTCGTAGATGCCTGGTTCCGTAGCACGATTCTTTTAACATGTCTGTTTTTGTATCTACTTTGGCATGAGACGTCTCACACCCACCAGTACCCGCTGGAAACCCAGCAAGGGATTGAGTGGGGGCGCGTCGATCACCGTCCGCGAGTCCGTGCATCCAAATGGGTGGGTTTTAGAATCCTTATTCATCAAGAGTCTACATAAGACTTGGTTGCACATGAACACGCTCAACTCCCAAGATCCAACGGGCTTGCGGGTGACATGGTTGTGTTCCACTGGGGTGGCCCAACGGCCCAACTTGTTCCTCAACTAACCTCGCTCGCCGAAAAAAGACATGAAAAAGACATGAAGCCATGTGTCCAAGTCTTCCGGAAAGGGTCTTTGAGAAGAAGTCCTGTCTCAAATTCCAAGCCCCAACACTGCTACGACTTTGACACTCCCCCGCCTCTGTGTCTTTTCTGTTAAATTTTTTCCTCTTGCCAATTTTGGGTAGGTACCCGAGAATCAACGTCCCCAGGTTCAAAATAAAGCACACCGAAAAATCAAACCCTCTATAGAATCAAGGTTCCAGGTTGCCAGGGCACTTGTCAAAAAGTGCATGCTAGAAAGTAGTTTCTCATGGTTTCTCTATAGAATCCAGGACCCCTCGTTTGCATCTGATATAGATCCTAAGAAAAGAATGGAACTCCGATGAAATCTCCGATATTCTCCAATCAATTTTGCGATTACTCTTTGGGAAAAGGAAAACCTGATGATGTTCTCCGATGAGTCTTGTTTCGACTCTACAGAAAGTTTGCTTGCCTGAAATGTTCAGATCGCATCCGATCGGGATTCTCAAACTCCTACCCCCCTACAATGTATACAAACTCCCTCTCGACCAAGCGGCTTCTTTCAGAGCCGTTTGCACTTGTCTCAATGCGGGCTCGCCCTGCCTGTTTTCTCAGGCAACGAGAGCCCGAAAATCGAATACCTTGATAATCTAGGCTTTGAAATTCGATTGGTCGGGTGTTTTGGATGCCCTCCCTTCATGCCTGAAAACCACCTGTAGGCAGAGGAAAATAGATGTTCAAGAGGTCATTGTCCACTTGCATGATTGGTTGGAGGAAGGGCAACACCACAAGTACAACTTCCCGTACTTCCCAGCTTCCCTGCATACAACTCGCAAAAACGGCCACACATGTTTACCCGAATCAGTTGACCAAGTGACCAAGTGGGAACGGTGGATTTCAACCAGGTCGAGACTCGGCTGCAGGTCAAAAAAGAATGAAAGAGAGTTCGGTTGAAATTCATCTGGGCGACACATGCCCGTGCGAATTCAAAGACATGTCAGCTTGTGACTTGATCAAGGAAAGCTCATGTTCACTTGTCGAGCGACCATCTTCCAGATGCCACACAGAGTCGCGTAGCGACCCATTGACCATTGACCCATTGACCCGGACACGAAGCAAGGCTGCCATCAACATCCCTCAACAGACCAAACCAGTGGTCTTTGGTTTGGAACCGAAAGACCGGGGATCCAAAACCCACCCCATGCCCCCACGACGTTCCCCCACGCGTCTGGGGATGCCCGGCCACCAGGCGTCCTTGGCCTCGGTGGCGCGCTTTTCCGCCTCGGCAGAACGCCAGATTTCTGTGAATGTAGACACTTGTAGGTTTCTATTGATGCCATTTGCATTGACCTGCATCTCCAAAGTTCGTGCTGAGGACCCAGCATGTGCCAACCTGCAGGAACTTGGTTTCACAAGGACCCTTTGCATATCCCCTGAACAATTGGGTGATTGGGATGTACAAGTCCAGTCCATTTAGTCCATGTCTAGTGAGTCTAATATTATGCTTCAATTTCTCGGAAGAGCTTTTCAAGGCCTTTCTCAAAAAGCATCTTGCTTTTGGGGCTCCCCCGTCTATCAGGATTGCTCCTTCAGGATAGGGGTGCTTTGAGGAACCATGCCTTCCCCTCTCAAGACCAAGTTGTCAGGTGCTTCCATGGCGAAGAGTTGAGTCTACAGGAGGCTTTGAAGGTAGACAAACCAAGTCTGCCTTTCGGTGGATTTGGGGCCGACCAGGGGGGCCCTTGATCCATCCAGGCCAAAGGCGGGGGTGCGCCTCTCTTCGATCGCTTGCATCTTGTCATGCGTGTCCAGGCCTGGGCACAAATGACAAATATTCAAATATGCAATTAGGACACAAACGACAATTAGGATACATAAACGGTCAGATGACACCACTGACACCACCATTCAACTGCATTCGATCTGGGCATGCGCACGTGCGGAGCTCAAGCGCCCCTGGCAGGCCACGATGTTCTTCGAATGCTCTGCGTTAGACTCCTCTCGCAAAATGCGTTGGGCGCCCGGAATAGATTGGATTGGCCCGCAGGCTCAAAAAGTAGGCTATAGCTGCCCCTTTTTGATTATATATATATAATATTCTATATAGATAGATAGATAGATAGATAGATAGATAGATAGATAGATAGATAGAATATATAGGCACAGTGCGCTCCGTGTTAGTTGCTGCTTTAGCCGGATCAAACGGATATACCTGATGGCTGAGCAGAGGAACTATTAGAAGCTCAAAGACCCCCAACGAAGCTCAAATGACTATTCCTGCATGAGGCTGGGGCCTGGAAATACTGCCTTTGGCAGGATTCTTAAGTGGCAATTGCTGGATTTGGGTGACTCCCATCTGATCCATATGCTCCCATGGTTTCCCCCGAAGCTGTCAGGGCCTGGATCTGTTGGGACAGCTCTTGGTGCAGCAGCGAGATCTCCGAGTGCCAAGGTTTGGCCTCGTCACCCGGTGGAAAAACGGCCAAACGGTACCCCCGTTGTGGTTGGTTCCCACATGTCTCCACCACCCTTTTGGTGGGTTTCTCCACCTGTCAATCCACCACTGTTCGTGAACATTCGTGAACAACAAAAGGTGCGTCTCTGTACTGAATGGTGTGCCGTATGATGTGTATATCCAGTTTAAATACATAAAGCCTAAGCTATTGTAGACACGATTGAAGAATGTTTGAAAATGTGTGTTCAGTAGCGTTCTTGTTATATACTAGTAGCGTTCTAGGAGCATTCAAGCCATTGTGTGGGTATGTCTCGCACGGACCTGCACCGACAGGCCAGCATGGACGTGCGGTTGACCTTGTTTGACACGGTCACCCCTCAGAGTCGTGGAAAACCACGCCTGATCGAAGTCCTTCAGGATTGCCATCTTCAAGCTATCTGCGGAAGGTCGGAACACTGCTCCACTAAGTGGGGCAATGGTAGGATAGTGCCAAGAAGTGTTTCCCTCTGGCACTGACAAAGAACCCGAAAGCGGCGTTAATTCGTAGAACATGCCTCTCGCAGAGGTCCATTTTCAGGACCTATGGTGGTTCTCCACATGCTCCACCTTGCAAGCCAACCTTTCGGGGTGCCACTGTTCCTCTACAAAAGGGGTTGCGTTATGTTGCGTTTGGTTTCCATTGTTGCTTGGTTGAGGCTTCGGAGAGGCAAAGAGGGGGATGGTGATGGAATCTCTTTCCACAGGCTATGAGGAGTGGTCTTTGATTATGATATGTGATGATCGCCGTTCTGCAAGATTTCATGGAACTCACAGGTTGAACCCCAAAAGAACCACGACAAACCTTCAACCTAGCAAAGCTCGGACTCGGTGTGTGTTAAACCCCCTTCAATTTCCCCCATCGCCGTCCGATCATCCTCCTCGAGAATGCACCACCCGGGCAGAACCCCGCACCCTGCGAGCTCCGAACATCCTCAAGACGGACAGCCCCTGGCACGAAAGTAAGTCCAGCAGAAAGCCTCCAAAACAGGTAGAAACGGCCCCTACCGATGTCCAATACATCCTTTACAAGGCGGATTCATAACCTTTGTCTCGAAATATGTTGGAGAGGCTATTCGGTATCATAGACGAGGAAAGACCAACACTTGGTCAACCTTAGCAGTGAAACATGGCAGCTCTGGCAAGTCTCTTCCAATGCAGCCAGCTCTCTTCTCACCTCCAAAAGCCAAGTCAGGTGAAACAGATTCTTGTGCTATTTGTTGTGTGATTTGGGTGCATGTGCATGTGCATGTGTGTGTGTGTGACCTTTGAAGTACGATTTAACACCCCCTAGTCTTAGCGAGTGTGCAATCAAAACTCATGACATCCAAAATGATTGTGCAGAAGAACCCTAAACAAACATCGCATACTATACACCCACACGTGGTACACAGCGCCATGCCATACCTTGGCCAAGTCGTGAAAACACCAGGATGCACCAAATCAGGTCTGCATCCGGCCCTTCTAGGACTTAGGTGGAGACTTAGCTAGAGCTATGCCGCTATGCCCATGCTCACTTCTAGGTGGCACCACTGGGAAAGCCGAGTGTGGGGCAGAACTTGAGTTTTCCGACATTTGTCTGATTCAATCAAATTCAACGGAGTTCTGGCTGGGCTTGGATGAACAGTAAGGTCTCTGCTTTGGCGACCGCTGACTCCCCCAACCCTCACACCACAAGCTGCGAGTTTCTCTCAAGCACATCCGAGCAGAAAACCTGCAAATCGGAAATTCACCATCTGAGTTTCAGGATGGTGGAGGCATTAGTTTTTGTCGCCCACCTCTGTTTGAGAAGTAGGACAATGATACTTGATCAGCATTAACATAAGGTGCTCAAGATCAACTGTTCAGGATGCACTTAAAAAAGGCTCACGGGTCCATTTGAGGCAGCAGCAACTGCTTGCCACCAGCAGGTCTCCGGTGTCCAGCATCCAAGCTGCATCCATCCCTGGCAACATGAAGAAAAGTGATGAAGAGCTGCTCCCTGGGAGAGGGGTCCGTATGATGGTCCGCTGCCTCACTGACCCAAACGACATGATTGGACCAGGCAACATCTTGAACGCCTATCGATTCAGCCTCTCTATTTCAAGCCGATGCTTTTGTATTCTTTTGTCACCCGCGTTGAAGACCAGACCAGGAGCTCCACCTGTCCAAATCTTCCGCCTCCGCTGATCTCAGCAATCTCACCCCGCGGAGTTGCTGCAGACCGGGCAGTAGCTTGGAGGGTTCGCCGCTAAGCAGCCGCAGGTCTCGGGACCTGGTCCCCCAGTCGGTCGACTCGCGGTCGGCTTCTGACGTGTTTGGAGCAAAGTAAGTCAGACATGCACAGAAGAGGCACATCCGGTCTGAGTAAAAACAGGTTATATATATATATATACCCATGACTTCTGACTTCTCCATCAGAAAGAATCTGCTTTTTCGCGGCCTTCTTTCCCCAAGTTTCTTCTTTTCCCGCGTCTTTGGGACTACAAACTACCCAACTCCCTTTCAGGCCGTTTGCACTCGAGATCAATGTAATCTGTTCCCAGGTGTGTATAGGCTAGACCCCAGACTTATGCAGCAATACACAGGAAAGATATGCAAATCATAAAGGAATGCAGGAACATCGACTAGTTGACAACTCGATCTGGTGTTGCACAGTCGCCCAGGTGCATTTCCAGGCCAAGGGCCGGTAGAGGTCCGGGTCACCCTGACACCAACTTCCTCAGACAAGCGTCACGGCGTGTCCCAGTTTTCCCCCGGGACATGGACAGAATTGGAAGCAATGAGTTCAGGATCCCGATCGAAAAGAGACGGGACAGTGTATTTACTGTATCTACAGCAATTGTTGTAGTTACTGTATAGTTGTGTGTACATATACATGTATATATAAATACAAATACATATACATACATATCCGTGTGTGTGTGTGTGTTCACATTGGGTAACAACTCAGCTGAGAAACCTGGTACGTTGATTCTGCAACACAGCAGCGGTCGTTAACAAAAAGGGGGTCGGCCACTGTGGGATAGACTCGCACAAATGATGCAATACTCAGCTCTTTCAATGCTTGTGATTCTTGTAATTCAATATTGATGCTAACCAACCACACAAGCCAACCCGGGCAGGCACAGCCTACTAGCATCTACTGCCCAACCAACGCAACATGTCTAAACCCACACCTGTATCTAAACCAAACAACCCAGCAAACCAGCAAGCAAAACACCCAATCCAAGAAAACCAATGGCTTATAGGTTGATGTTGGCCAGTGAATGCCAAGTTGACAGGCCCAAATCGCTATTCACACCGACACCAGTGGTGCTGCATCCAAGGAGCTCTGCCCTCCAATCTGGCACGGCTGAGGTTGAGAAAGTTCTCAAATACACACGGCTTACCATGATTACTTTTGTACATTATCGTAACAAGAAGCTACTAGCATCGCTACTAGGAGCAAGGACGCCATTAGGGGCTCCTGGCCGTACTACTAGGAGCAAGTAGGATGATTACACATGCTTTTGCCAAACCCCATCGTTCAGGGCCTCACCTAGGGTCTCCCAGGGCCACACGGTGCTTTCCCACCGTGCTTTCGACCGTTCAAAGCGCCACGCCATGCGATGAAGGGGACCTTTTCGGGGTCAGGGTCCATCATGTTCCTCCTGGATTTTTGGAGAAGTGCCACTGTCTCTCTTAGACTCTCTCTTTCACTCGCTCCAATCTGCCCCAGCACTTGGCCACTTGGCGGGGTTTTCTTTTCTTCCAGCGCAAAGCGCGCGGTCAACCACGATGCGTTCGTCAAAAGCACGAGCGGCACGAGCGCACGCGGCCGCACCTCAAAGCCCAACTGGGGGTCCTTCAAAGTGGGACATCCTCCAGCTTTCATGGCTCTAAGCACCTCCAGTAGAGCACAAACTCGTGTCGAAAGGGCACCGCAAACCAAGGGCACCTCCCCAACCACAGAGTCTTTGCTGTCAAGCATTGCTTCTTGGGTGGGGGAGTTTTGCAGACCCACTTGGCGCGCGGGTCATAAGATGTGTGTCAAGTGTTTGGCATTGTTTTTTGTTCCTCACTGGTCATCTGGAAACCCTACGTGATCCTTTTCAAAAAACCACGGCGATCGGCGATGGCTTTCCCGGCACCGGCGGCGGCCACGCCTGTTCGACCCGTAGGACCACGGCCTGGGAGCCAGAGAGGCCAACACCATAGACCGCTTCCAGGGCGGGCAAATAGCCATCCCAGAACCTGGGAGAGCTGTTCATGGGCGCGTTGGCAATTCAAGGGCCCAAAAGGCTGCTCCGACAAGCGTAACAAAAAAACATGATTCGGATCATGGCTAGACATGCCTGACATGTGTGCATAGACACGTTTCCCTTTTTCCTTCCATGCGCATGACACGCGTCGTGAGACCTTTATATATTTATGTTGAGGCACCCTCACTTCACAAAAGCTGTGCACAAAGAATCAATTGAAAAGTCTTCCGTCCGAAAGTTGTGGTTCTTCTCGCATTCACCATCCGCCCTGATGCAATTCAGTCAGGCTTGCAAATTGCAATCCAAAAGAATGAACTGTTTTGGGCACGATCCACCTTTGATAGAACTGGATGAATAAAGTAGCACCAATATAAGATACAAATCATTAACCATCTATGGATTGAAACAGTGGAGATTGTTTCAACTCACCTACGTAAGTTTATGAGGATTAGTCAACATCGGTTAGTCCAGTGCTAGTACTCACAGATTAGCTTGAATAGATCCTGCATGTACATTCCCCAAACAGCCAAAGACTACCACGGTGCAGCTCCACACTCTACTCCCACCCATCTCTGTCATAGAGCTGATGCCATCTCTCATCGATGGGCGCATCTCGGCAATCACCGATCCTCTCCATGGCCAGTTGGGTGCAGGTGTCCTCCAGCCCGCCGCAGCTGTCTCCATGTCCACGTGTGGAGGGTGGAAGACATCTTCGAATGGCGGCTGTGCCCAAACCATCTTCAATGTTCCAAGGGATTGCTGAAAGCCCCGTGAATTTGAGACGATGCATGTGGCTGTTTCGGTGGATGTTACAGGAGTTTGGTAAATCAAATGCATGTCAATGGTACATATAGCGGGTGTCAGATGGTTTTAGTCTTATGGAAAGTTCCCTTCAATATGTTGACTCCTGCCTTATCCTGCCTTCGGTCTGAAGGACCCTTGGGTTGGGAGAGAAAGGTGAATTCAGGTAAATATATAAAACTCTCGTCACACATACTCCAAGAGGAAATATGACATGTTCCAGAGGTCGTGCCCAACTGGCCAACCGATGATTGCTGGTCTTGTTCGTCGACCTTCTCTCCCACCAGACATTCCAGGGCCCCCTCAGTTTCAGGCAAACTGAGGTTGACAATTAACAAGTTTAAACATTGACGATGAGGATATGTCCATGAACATGCCGGGCATTACACAGTGACCAGAAGTCAGGTTGCTGATGTTGCGGTTCTCTTTCCAGGCATCCCACTCTTTCCACCTGTCGTCCTCTCTCAAGTCGGACCGGGAATTCATCGGCCAAGGCTCTGAGCAGCCCCACGCGGGTGTCCGAAACCAGGACGGCGCCGCCGGATCGGTGCACCCGCACGTGTCGCTACCTCATCGGTGCATCCGGGGGTCGTCCACCACCGGTGGATGACGCTACATGCGACTCCCCCACCAGAATGGCTGAACATCTTCTGGGAGGCTTTGTACATCAACAGTCATCAACAGTCTACATTACTACCCCTCGATTCAGTGTGGGCTTGGAGGATTGGTTGGGCTTCTTCAGTTGAACTGTGGACTCGAGGAGGAGCCAGTCACTCACAGGGGAGAACACCGACATGGCCGACACGGCTCTTCAGCTGGTGGAGGCGTGTTCATTCATGTTGAAAACCCGTAGGTCAAGTCAAGTGGCCTTGACGGAAGCGCGCAAAATGCTGAGTGTGCATGGTCGTGTCTGATTTAGGTATCCTCTGAAAGTACCCGGCATTCATTCCTGATTTCAAGAATCCCTTGGCTGGCATGGAGCCCGAAACCTATTGATTGCTACTTGAATTTCAGCCACTATATTGTTGTGGCGTGTTTTGGAAATGGTGCAATTCAAAGATGCTAGGAGTGCATTTCGGTGACAACTGGGCCGCGATTTGCCTTCCAAACGTGCTGGGTGGATTCAATTGGATACGTCAGCCACTGCTCGTTTGAACTCACATACCCAGTGCAATGCAAATCAATGCAACAACGTTTCCAGTCAGATCTTGAGGTTGAAGCGTCTCCTGCTGCCTCCGTCCAGGACCTTGCAATTTGAGCAGTTGTTGCACCTTGCCGAGTCTGTTTGGGTTAGTTCCCTCACAAATGTCCCACTTGCTTGGCCCAAGCACAAATAAAGCGTAACAGTCGCGCGTCTCCTGTGTCACAAAACTCTTGAAGCTCTTCCTTGGCGACACGATTGGGCCCGGGAAGTGCCCACCCACCGGGTTGCAGTCTCCCTCATGCCACGGGCCTCCCTATTGGGACACATACCCAGTCGGACCTGGAGATGTCTCCTCAATTTTGTTCACTAGCGTCAGCAAGCGAACGAAACCGGAATGGATTTGCAGGGCCATCCGCAGGTCGAGAAAGTCTGTTCAGAATCTTAAGAATTCTCTGAAACCTCAGCGCCATTCCACCTCGACTGTGTCTGTTGCCCGTTGAAGTTAATACATTTTGCATGTGGGATACTAAACCACCATGGCACGCCGATTTGCAAAAGTCAGTACTTAAGTCAAGACTGCTGGCCTTCCCCATTGTAAACGCGACATACAGAACAAGGTTCTCCAGATTCACCTTTCCAAAAAGAGAAAACTTCAACTGCAAATCCCAATGGCAACGCAATTTGGAGAGCTACCCGACGTGGTAACTTACCCCATCGCACATGAACTTGACCCACCCCCATGGCACACCGCCTACCCCACGAATGTAAGAACTTACCCCATTTGGACAAAATTGCACACCGCTTCGAAACAAGCACTTTTTCTCACTCACGATCCCTTTTTCTCCTAGATTGTTTCTAAGCCTACACTATTCCATTGCGATTCAACCTTCTACATGTTGATGTTTTCAAAGGTTATCTATGGGTTGCCGTGATCCAATCCCCATGGCACCCCGATTCTGACCCACATGTTGGTACCAGCTTTAAGTTTCTACCTGGAGTGCAAACAGCATGGAATTGTTCTTTAAACGTCAAAAATATCTATGCGTTCTTGTGTGTATTCCTCTCCCGATCCCCATGGCACACCGCTTCGAAACAAGCACTTTTTCTCCTAGCCTAGATTGTTTCTAAACCTACACCATTCCATTGCGATTCAATCTTCTACACGTTGATGGGTTCTAAGGTTTCCTATGGGCTGAAATGATCCAACCCCCATGGCACACCGATTCTCACCCACATGTTGGCACCACCTTTAAGTTCCTACCTCGAGGGTAACCACCCAGACACGAAAGTCCTTGCAAAGCAGTTGCGGCAAGCAAATCACACAGTGACACCACACCGCGGCTAAGTCACGGCAGAGTCACTTAGTTTTCGCATGGGACACCGCGTTTCACCAAACAGGCCATCTAAGCCAAAACCATGCTTTCCAAGCCCAGTTTACAACCGGACACTGCCACAATGATAGGGTTTGTGCAACAACAGCCAGCAGCAAATGAGTAGGCTTTGTAGCGCAGGCAGCGGCAGCGGCAGCAGCAAGCAGCAGCCAACCAGCAGAAAAACAACACCAACAATCCAACAGCAGCAGAAGGTAACCAGCAGCGGCCAAACAGCAGCAGCAAGCCGGCAGCAGCAAACCAGCAGTATAGTAGCCAACCAGCGCCAGCAAACCAGCAGCAACTGGCAGCAGCCGACCACCAGCAGCAAAACAGCGCAGCGCAGCAGCAGCAGGAGCAGCAGCAGCACCCAACCAGCAGAGGCTAGAAACCACATCATCCCATGCCACACCGTTTTCACCAATCCCACATCACAGGAGCAAATCCCACATTATCCCCATGGCACATCGGCTTCCGATCTCTGCCAGAAGTATGCTAAGACCACGAAAAAACCACGGTTATCTGTGTGTGCGCGTTCCTGTCTTTCAACGGCTGTGCAGGACACACTTCCGCATGGCACACCTGCGAAAAATTTGAACATGAACGCTTGAAAACATGAACCCTGCAAATCGCTCCTTGCCTGGGGGCCCATGTAAATTGAAGTTGTGACAATGGCAATCCCCATCGCACACCTCTGGAGGTCCTGGTGCCTGGTGGGTTGGGCGAGATAGAGGGAGAGATGTGGGCGAGGTTTGCGGCGAGATGAACGAACACGTTTGCCCAGAAGACCCATGCCCACTAACACCCAAACACAAAAGTCCTTGCAATGCAGCTGTGGCAACCAATCAAAAACTGGGACACCACGCCGCGACTAAGTCACGGCAACGTCCTTGCGATACTTGTTTCCGCATGGGGCACTGCGTTTCACCAAACAGGCCTGCCACCAAGCTTGATATAACGTTTCCAATGCCCAGTCTGCAATGGAAGAAGCCTGCTATAACCATAGGGCGTGCAAGACAATGACAGGCAGCAAATGAGTAGGCCTTGTAGCCCAGGCCGCAGCAGCGGCAGCGACAAGCAGCAGCAAGCAGCAAGCAGCAGCACCAGCAGCAACCAAGCAGCAAGCAGCAGCACCGGCAGCAATCAGCCAGCGGCAGCAGCAGCCAACCAGCAGCAAACCAACAGCAGCCAACCGCCAGCAGCAGCAGTAGCCAACCAGCAGCAGCAAGGCAGCAGCAGCAGAAAGCCAGCAGCAGACCGGCAGCACCAGCGAAGGTAGCCCAATCAAGCTTTCCCCCAAGGGCACACCTCATCTGGCACAAGTTCATGCCACTCAATAGTGTGCCCGCTTCACAGCGGAAGCCAGGTTTCCACAAGGACCCTGCTTCCGAGGGTTGGCCCTATAAGCCCTTGGAGGGTTGGACATATGAGACCCACTTTTTCAAGATGAAGGGGAACCTATGGGCTGCCTATAGAAACCTCTAGAAACAACCTATGGGTTGCCTGCCAACTTCCTTGCGGTAGGTCTTGTGCACGCTATAGTGTATCGACTTCCTGGTTTGCTCATCACCTTCTATCTGCTTTTTTGAAAAAAAACACGTCTCGACTTCAACAACTGGCAGTACATGTTCATGTTGTGTTTGGGGTCACTTCAGGGTGGGATTGCCTCAAGAACGCCCTCCGCCCTTCCATTCAGGGCTCGCATGTCGTCACATCCTTTCGCCCCAAGGCTGCGCCAGCCATGGCCAAGCGTGCCGAAACGCGGCCCATGAACACCTGAGCCGCGCCGAAAAACGCGACGCATTCCGCTTCGACGCCTCCGCATCCGCTGGAAGGTCCGAAGCAGGGATCCGAAGTTCGTGGGCGACTGGGCTGGGCTGTCTGGATCTGTTTTCTCCGAATGGTGAGGGAGGAGAAGAACTGGGGTGGAAGACCATAGTCTCTCGACCCAATTGGCATGGGTAATGCATCTAGTTGTCCATTCATTCAGCGGTCAGCGGAATGCCTTGGCTTGCTGCCATTTTCGTCCGCCAGATTACACTAGCCATCCCAGAGAACACAAAGCAAAGCTGTGCAAGGATCTCACCACAAGCCGGTGCAGGCAGCCTAGGCACTGGATCTTGGTAGAAGGCCCCACCCGGTCGCAGGATTGCAGGCTCAATGCAGAGATTGAACTCCAAGGTTTCCGCCAACATGGTCCGTGTTCCTGGATCCGCACCGCTCGGTCTGTGTTTTACCCACGCCAAGCCAAAAACAACTACACAACCACCACAATAATCACCAATTCAAAGCCACTCCGATACCGACAAAAACTACAACCGCCACTACTCACTACTATCCAAGTGTGTTATTTCTTTCTGAGATCTGTGAGGACTATTAAAAAGGGCATCGCTACTAGTAACTACTAGTAGCTTGTTACTACTAGTCAACCATGTCTCCCTGAAGCCTTGCCTTTTACACTCACATCGCCCAAAATCGGGGTCGCCGTGTCACGCCGTGTCGTCGACGGACCCGTCGTCTCATCAAGCCACTCGCAGTATCGAAATCGGGCGAGGCCACGAAATGGATATATTGCCTGAGGAGACGCTGAGGAGGCCACTGCTCTAGGCGAAGCGCAGTAGAAAGTTGATGCTATGTTGCTATGCAAGCTCACAGTAGAAGCGACCGTCAAAACTGCATGAGTAGTGACTGCGAACTGTTTACATATCAATTTCTGAACAATTTCTTGACTCTTGGTCGGCATCTCCATGCGTGTGCAGGCGCGCACTGACATTGTGAATTACTGTATCTTGTGAAACGCATCCATTCTTGGGCCATGTTTCTTTATCTCCGGTTGATTTTCTTGATGTTCCGTCTCGGTTTCGTCTCACTCACTTTTTGAACATGTGTGGGCCCAAACAGCATAGAACATGTAACATGTACACCATGCACATGAATCACCAATGTTAAGTCCTTCTGTGGCAATTTTGACCTGTTCAACCCAGCTTTCACCCGCACTCCCAACACTTGAGCCATTCTTGCAGACATGGCATTTCTGGTTTCTTGAGTCATGCCCCAAACATGTGGTGACCCTCACCTCCCCCAATTCCACCATGTTCCACCCAGGTGGCGGAAGCTCCACAGGATCTTGGAACTTGTGCACGCTCACAGCCAATTCCAATGGGCTTGGCTCCTGGTTCCGCTCGCCCGCCGTCACATAGCCGAGGATCATCTGCGTATCAGAGTTCCTCGTGAACACTTGTCGTGCACCTGCGTCTGCCTGCCTGTCTCCGGTGCACAGCACAGCACTATGAACCCCACCCCAACCCGTGATGCATGCCAGGTTCTGCTAGATGGTGCATGTGTTCCCATGCTTCCCCACTTGGCCCTTGCGGCCCACAGCCCACAACCCTCCCTTCAGGGCAAGAGAGAATCTGCCCCACCACGAAGGTTTGGTTGCCGCCGCAGAGCTCCTTCTTCACCATGAGCATGGTCTCCCCCAAAGGTTGGAGGAGCCCAAAGTAGGGCAGCAACAAGGTGCCCGCCAAGAGCATCAACAATGCCACCTCAGAAGCTTTCGCGGCAAGACCATGTTGCGGCAGGTCTTCTGCCAGTGGTGGGTGCTGACCACTTGGGATCCGTAGTGGGAAAAGGGTTGTATATATTTTATGTAGAAACGAGGTTGTTGGAGCTTTACGTGGCTGATGTGGTTGGTTTTACAAGTTTACAGATCTGTTGACCCACAGAGTTGATGTACTGTGACGTACAAGTATCATCAAGTATCATGATTATGGAACTTATGGAACATGCATCTTGCATGTCAGATGCACCCTCAATGAGTCAACAGCCGGGGCCATGTCTCCCTCTACCTCCGACTCCCGACTCGGAGCGATTCGCCACTCCGGCCCAGAGGACCGATTCGCTCTGACTCCGCCGTGAGGTGCAGCGCACTTTCAAAGGCTCCAGAGTCCGAATCGCCACCTGGCCGATGAACCGAAACATGTCAACTCAAAGCCGCGGCTCGCCCAATCCACCAATTCAATGAAGGGGATGTCCAATTCAATTGGGGGAGTGTACATTACCAGTTTCGGGGCCTAAAAGGACCGTCCCGGAGGTGTGGGACCCCACCCAATGCCCACCGATGAACGAGTGCTCCCGGTCTTACTCCAACTGATTGACCAAAGCTGCACTATGCTGCACTCACCCTTCGAAAACGCAAAGAAAAGCCGACCTGCACGGACATAGGTGAGAATCCGGCAAACAGGAACCTTGGACTTGCGCAGCACTTGCAGGCCCAGAGTGCTGAAAACGTATTTGCAGTAAATCAAGAAACCGAAGAAGGAGAACCTGGCGCCTTCCTGATCTTTCCTCTGCAAACTGGGTCTGATTTGAGTATTGAACCGGGTCACAGATGTGCAGGCTCTATACTCTGTACTATTCGGCTATGATCAAAAGCCTGTTCCAATGCCGATGGGGCGCTCATCCACATCGAGAATCGCATTCAAGGCCACTGCATTCAGCATCAAATCCTCGAACTGGCCGCATTCAATGGCCCAAGTCTGATCAATTCTGACCACTGATGAGGCATTTACCTGGAACATCTCAAAATCTGAACACTGCCAGGCACAATCACCGGACCCACGATCGCATGGCTGAACTCTTAACGCCTACAATATGTAGAAGGCAACACTGCAGCAACATGCTTGGGTCAGATCTGAGGCAGAAGTGCCAGAACCTAAGCAGGTACAGTACATGCAAACGTCATGTTTAACTCCTCACGCTCACGGACGTGAGCACGATGTCAGGTATGTTTGGAATTGGTAGACTGACCACCAAGACTCTGCTATTGACGTGGTCCGTGCCAGCCAGTGAACTCCAGCTATCAGAAGCACCTGAGGTGAGAACGCGAGCATTGTCACCTCCCCAGTTGGCTGATAGGCTGATAGGGCCAAATCTATGCCGTTTATGGAGGCGTGTGTCTCAATCTGCAGGAAGGGGGGACGGCGTAGTATATGAACGAACTAAGAATCTAAGACCATGGGAGAGAATGAAAAACATTCCCCAGGCTTTCAGTGGCCCATTTGGTGCGCCCGCTGGACACCCTAAACGAAGTTCTAGGTGCCAGGGCGATGGCGAAGCGCGTGAAGTAGGTGGCGATGATCGCCATTAAGCGACCGTGAGAGATGCTGCAAATGTGGCCGTCCTTGGAGCAAGGGTGTGCCCTGTGCCCCCACTGAGCAGAATTTACTTTTTTTCAAACAGTAACTGTAATTACCTATGAAGCGTAACGACGTGTTGCACCATTGACACCCCCACCATTGGCACCTCCAATCTGGACGTGACCCAAGCGTCTCGAATGACCGTCAGCTGGTTTCGCGGCAGCTGGGCCACGGCCTCCAGGGACTGCCACGTGTTCCGAAGCTCCTCGGGCGGCGGTCCCGGAACGGCCGAGCCGAGCGGTAGAGCCACGAGGTGGGAGAGAAGCAGCTGCAGCAGGGGGTAAGGGAGTGATGCCTGGTGAGCAGATTGGAAAAGCGTATACCATAATACATGATCCTGCTGAAAAAGGTGGGACGTGCCGTCTTTCCTATCGCCTCTTCCAGTAGATTGAAGTTCCCTTCTCATCGTTACATTTCTTACAAGCAGGACAAGTGTGAGGGTGCGCCTCATGCTTTATACATGCCGGCGGAACCACTGGACAATCTGGGCGTCATGTGGTATCTATCATCAGTGGTGACAAGCTGACCAGCGTCCTTGTAGACGCACAAAGCCCAAAGAAGGATACACAGCATGCATAGCAGGATCCCAATCGGGAAGAAGCCAGCATCAAACTGATCCTTGTCCAGGCTCATGTAGCTATTGATGTGTGTGATCAAGGTCGCCTGCAGGGCACAAGCGCTGTGGCTCAAGGTTCTTCAAATGTCATGCCTACTGGCCTTAGCACATGTCTTTCCAACTTGGAGGGTCTGGAGGAACAGAGAAATAGAGACCTGGAGGAATAGAGACCTGGCATTCTGGCATGACAAAAGACCAGCACAAGCATGCCCACTGCGTCCCATTTTCTAGTCAACCTCCATGGTTCGATGGGGGCCCGATGTACCAACCACTTAAGGAAGCACGCAGACACGCTACATTGGCACAAACACTTTGTATATTGCTCTTCTCAGTTTGAGTGCTTACGCCAGTATACAAGACGAGTTGCAAGACCCACAAAAATCTCACCACTGAACAGCTTTCAATATATAATATCTCATCTTTCCTTTACACGGGCACCGCACGCAGCACGGAACGCACCCACGCACACGGGCACGGCACGGGCACGCAGGAAACCCTCATGTGACATGAGAAGCGGCCTGGCGACGCATCCCCACACCTCGCGTGGTCCGCCGTGGGCCTGGGTCGTCGCCAGGATCAAGGAGCCATCGCCCGCGCAAACACGCGTCACCAGGCTGGTGGCAGACAGGTCCACATGCCTGGTTCAGGAAGCTCGCAATCCCGTAGAGGTTGGTATCAAACCCTAAAACAAACCACGCTCTAAAACATAGAATGATAACACAAATGAAGTGGTCAACCTAAAAAAGAAGCAGCTCATAGACCCTTATTACCAATGAAGTATCCAATGATGCTTGGAATGAACAATGCATAATTTGTCATTTCCAAGTTGAGGCTGCTCAACAATCATATAATGGTATGCATTGGCAAGATTTTCCGATTCTCCCGGTATCAAAATCCCTCTCGTTGGCCCTGGCTGGGACGATATTTCACAAGAATTGGTAATGCATTCTTTAGGCAAGCGAACTTGTCCACCTTGAACTAAAAATGATGTCTCGTCTGCATCAGCCCAAGTAAAAAATCTTAGGGTGCTCTCATTTTGCAAGAAGTTGGATGAGATGTGTCCTAGGCCCGTACAATAAGAATACAAAAGAACCTTGCAGGCCTCCAGGCACCAGAAGGGCAAGGTAACCAGTCACTGGAATCCTAAAAGAAATGGAGCTGCCACACAGCCCAAGCGCAGGTTCCGATGCATGACGTGGTTCCAGTTTCAGCCTCTTTTGGGGCAAAAGGTTTGGGACAGAACGAACCCAAGGAGCCTGACCCTGGCATCTCCTTGGGCTTGTCCCTGCCCAAGCCACGCGGGCCATCCGCCAAGTGGCCGGTAGTCATGGGCGAAGCTGGTCCGCCACTGCCTCTGCGGGTGAGCTATCTAGCGAGCAAATTCAGCAGCAAAAGGTCAAACACCGGAGGCGCTCAACATTCAGGCTGTTCAAAAGGGGCAGTTGCAAAGGTGTACAGTCAGTTGGGCCTCAAGTGTCACGCAACTGGGAGAACATCCACTCAAAGAAAACCCGCTTCGGATCAGATCAGTGACTGTGATTAATCCTCTCCCATCTCACAAACGAAAGCGATGTGCGGCTTCGTGATGCCAAGTTGGTCAAGGATCCGTGCCACAGTGATCTTATTCACAAAGTCCTCGCCCATGAAATCTGGGGTGACGATGATGATCGAAAACATCACCTGCATACCTGACCCAATGAGAAGTGCAAACTCAGACTGTTCTCACGCAGAATCACAAATGAGCTAAAATGAGGCTTTCTCACTCGTTACACTGTTACACCCACCCGGGAACCCCTCAGTTTTGGACGCGGCCTTGAGGTGCCTGGTACTTCAGCCCGGCTGTAGTTGGCTCAAAGCAATGAATAGATCACGTTGTATATAATTTAACACCGTATAACACACGTCCCCGGTCTAGAAAGAGCAAACCTGGAATCCAGCCCACCCAGGCTTTACACCAGGCCACCAAAGTTCAGCAAGAGCAGCAGCAGGGAGAAGATCACATCCAGCGTTCGGATGTCCATCAGTCCCAGGACAATTGGATAGGTCCACGCACTCTCGTCGAAGTGCACGGAACCTGCAGCGAAACGCCGAAACCCCTGAAAATGAAGGCCTCAAAGGCAAAGAACATGGGTCTGGAGATGGAAAGACCGCCCTGGTTTCACACTCTACACGCTGGCTTCTGTAAGCCTAGCGGCCTAGCCAGGAGCAGACCTCTACGCCGTTTGCATTGTCTGCAGCTGCAAGGGCCATGACCGACTTATGATACCCCTGATCTATCTACTTCTGCGAGTGGCGGCCGCAAACAAGTCTTCATAAATCAGAACTTGCAAAGAGGCTTAAGTATGCTGTATCCAAGAATCTTGGTAAGGGACATGTGTGGCATTGTGCTGGGGAGACGGTTCTAAAGTTCTAAAGTTTTAACTTGCCCTGATGTAGAATGTAGACAAAACAGGTCTCCACTCTCCACACCTGCAAAGGCCTGCTTTCGGGAGCATGCCATTTCAACCCAAACTGCAAAATACGCTATGCAGAATGACCACCCACAATAATATAATACCCACCCCAATTCAATTGAACAACCTCTTCCCAAGGGGGGGCATACCAATCAAAAGTCTACATTACTATGGTTTTTACAGCGGTGTTGCCACCTGCGTCAAGCAATCCCAAACCGTAGCTCCATCATGTTCCATCCCTCATTTCCCCTCTGTGGTTCTTCATGAAGTAAAGGCATTCTAATCGACCCCAGGTGTCCATCCATGATCATCCATGCGCCATGGGCCACTAGTCTTACAATCTCCATCTCCCACATTTGTCAGCTCAATTTCGCCCAGAAACTCTCCAGATCTTTCACTGCAACCTCACCATCCTCCACTTCATCTTCCACCTTATGGACGATGAATGGAGTCCAGAGATCAAAGCCTGTGAAGGGAGGATCAGGATCAACTCAAGATCCACTGACTCATACCAAAAGCCTGTGCCACAAATTTCGGGGTTGGTGAAGGCTCGCCGGTACATTTGCTCGTGGACTTGGCCGAGTGAGGCTTTCAGACTCTGGCGGCTGTATGACTTGCAGGCTTGTGTGCCGACAAGAGAGATTTGGAAGCAAATTAGGCAAGGGAGTTGCGTTTCCCCACCTTGCATTCACAGTCGCTTCCAGAAGCAAAGGCAAGGAAGAGCACCACACCACGATTAGGAGGCCATCGCTAGTAGGTTGGAGGCCACCGCTAGTAGGTTGGAGGCATCCACGCCCAGTGTTCCCTGCCGGACCTCAACCACGACCATCCACGCCCAGTGTTCCCTGCCGGACACCAACCACAATCATCCACGCCCAGTATTCTGTTTTGCCCGACCTCAACCACGACCATCCACGCCCAGCGTTCCCTGCCGGACCTCAACCACGACCATCCACGCCCAGTGTTCCCTGCCGGACACCAACCACGATCACCCACGCCCAGTATTCTTTTCTTGCCCGACCTCAACCACGTCACGACCATCCACGCCCAGCGTTCCCTGCCGGACCTCAACCACGACCATCCGCGCCCAGTGTTCCCTGCCGGACCTCAACCGCGAGCTCCAGACCCAAGTGTTCCCTGCCGGACCTCGACCACGACCATCCGCGCCCAGTGTTCCCTGCCGGACCTCAACAGCGAGCTCCAGGCCCAAGTGTTCCCTGCCGGACCTCGACCACAGCACACAACCACAACCACAATCACAAACACACAACCACAAACACAATCACAAACACACAACCACAAACACAATCACAAACACAACCACAAACACACAACCACAACCACACAACCACAAACACAAACACACTACCACAAACACACTACGACAAACACACAACCACAAACACACAACCACAAACACACAACCACAAACACAACAACAAACACACCCACAAACACACAACCACAAACACACAACCACAAACACAACCACAAACACAAACACAAACACACAACCACAAACACAAACACGCAACCACAAACACAAACACGCAACCACACACACAAACACACAATCACAAACACACAACCACAAACACAACCACAAACACACAACCACAAACACGCAACCACAAACACGCAACC